TAGTAATATATAGTAAAACAACATATAAATAGTAATATATTAGTAAACAACAACTTAATTTTCCCATTTAATGCCAAATGTTTGTTGAAATATGAAATAATTTTTCATAATTTTGTCTGCCGGAGTTTTTGCCGGAGTTTTCCAACTCCGGCTCCGGCAAAATATGCCGGAGCTCCGGCTCCGGCACTCCGGCGCCCAGCTCTAGATTGTCTTGTGTCAAGTTTCTCACAATGCGTGGTACCATACGTTCTTTGAAATCTACATATGCAGGACGTTGTATATTTACACAGGAAATTTTTATTTTGGGATTTTGCTGCCAGGAAGACAAACATATTCTCTAGACCTGTTCAACACTTCACTTACTGTATTGTCTGTACCTTATATCAAATGTGTTCTCTGTAACTAACGTTAGCTTTGCTTGCTCGAGTTCTGAGTGGATTATATTAGTCTTCACCATATGCACCATATTCAGATATATTCTGTAAAATATGTGAAGAAATTCTTAAATTATAATTTTAAATTAGAGTAATGGCAAAAAAGGTAATTATCACCTTGTTATGATAAAGTCAGCATCTTTCTTTAAAAATTCGGGTTGATTGCGGAAGAAGTTGTCTTCGAGCTGTGTCTGCGTGTAATGTAAAGCATGTGTTAAACTTTTCACCCCACCTCCCCTCTTGGAAATTCTCACCCTCTTATCCCGCCTCCCACCCCCCTCCTCCCTCCCCCTGAAAAAGGGCTTCTATTAGCCTCTTGTATATGAACAATCAGTACCTGTAACAGCGGACAAGATGAGGATGACGCCTCCACATTGTCAGCGCAAATTGGTTTAATCTTCTTCATATAACCTAGGAATTTTGTGTCAATTTTTATATTCATTTAAAAAGCTTTTCATCAAAATATTCAACATATAAATACGCTTCAGAGTTCATCACAAAAAACAGATTAAACTGAGGTGGTATCTGCTACCAATATTACAACAAGCTTAAGTAATCTCGGAAAACATACCTCGCTTGTTCGCTTTACCAAGGACAGCTTCAGCCAAGATTGAGCGAAGCTCACCTAACAATCACATTTTAATATTAATCACGTAGGCTCAAGAAGAAAATGCAAATAACGATTTAGTTTCTAGAAGTATATAGTTTAGTTTATTGAGTTTCTCACTCTTTGGTGAGCGAATTTCCCAACAGGCTTATTGCCGAATTGATAGGCGATCCAAGGTACCTACAATTTAACGTCCTTATCCGAGAAGACGCGAAAATCTAACCATTTATTGATGTCAATGTAAAGGAAGCTCTTTCTCCTCAATTATTTTAAGACCTTGAGTAGAGGTCCGACCAAGGATTGAACCCGGGTCTCCCATGAGCTTGAAAGGCAAGCGTGCTGACCATGACAGTACATGGGCTGGTTTAATGGTAGTATTTCATGAAAGTTTGAACAAGAAGAATATTTTAAAAGATTTAGTTTGTGATATTGAGTACGTACCAAGATATGGACAGCAGGTGTACAATAGATGTTGGTCAACCAAGTCTATTTTATCCTAGGCGAGAATTATAGACATTAAGATCTGAAACATACAGTAAGCATTATGTACACAATCTTACCCATACTGAACAGGAATTCGTCGGTTGATAAACACTGGAGATTTTCTCGGAGGATTTTGTAAACATCGTATCTGGGATAACAGGCATCTGAAGGAGAAAATAATACCAGTCTGGTGAAATGGATGCAGTGACTAGTATACCCTGTAGAAATAGAGTTTTTTTAGTTGAATCATGCATGATGCTATAAATGGCACCATAAACATGCACTCAACATGCAATCAAATCAATCAAGCTATAGTGACCAATTGTTTGCGATTATAAGGGTAAAGCGTACCTCAAATAACCATCCTAAACCAACACTCAGCATTAAATTGTTGCGGCTCATGTCGACTGAAGTCAACGTGGTTCTGGAAGGAAACATTGTACGGATACGTTAGAAGAGGTTAGGGACAGCGGATAAGAGACATTGTGAAGCTGAAGATAAATAGGAACAGAGGAGACCAAAGAGGACATAGGTTGACTGTGTAAAGAAGATCAAAACGTCAAGGAACTGACGATGGTCATGAAAGGGCCATACAGAAAAGAATAAAGGACAAAAATTAATCCGAGCGGCCGACCATGCGTCAGTCAGAGACTAGAGCTGGAAAAAATAAGATATATAATAATAAATTTGTTGGGATATTTTAGTGAAACCTATACCTGTATATTTGATGCAAGAAGTCAAAGACCTCGTTGTAGTAGTCTAGGAATGGACTAACGCCATCCATCATACTGAGGTATTCAATCACCCAGGGTAGTGTCAGTACCAGTCTCTGCTCAGACCGTGCCTTTCTCAGGTAAAACATTACATCTACTTGTTGTGTGACCTATCATGAAAAATAATTGGTAAGCTTAATTCCAAAAATTGCAGAAAATAAAAGGATCGGGCATTCATGGTTCTTATCTAACCAGATATCTTTTAGAGATCTTGAAACAATATTGGAAGCTTCTGCTTTTTGTTACCAAACCTCATCTCTAGAGATCAATGAGTAAATTTATCCTAAATCAGACCTAATACACAGACCCATTCGTGAAATTCTCCAACGTGCAGAGAGGAAACCACTGGACACATTCTGTCCGACCTAAGTGAAACTGAGGTTTACTGTTTGTCCGAGTGAGTTGGTGTCCGACCTAAATGTAGTTTTGTCCAACGTGAATCAAAATCTATCCTAGAGGCTTGTATGTTAAATGGAGAGTCAAAGTAATGTATAAAAAGTGAACTGGAAATGTGTAATCAAGTGGGACTGTGTTTTCAACGTGGGATTCGGAAATACATTGTCAAGATTCAAAGGATTTTTCCAAATTGTGCTGATATTAAATTTAGTCTGCATTCATACTTATTTCCAACCAAACTGAAGTCAAAGTCATCGGACATCCATCGGACATCACAATACATATGTCGGACTCAAAGTCATAGAACATTCTCTGACCGATATTTTAAGGCCTGAATACATCACACACCTGATTTCTGGCAGATAT